GGCTCGGCCCGGAATGAATCTTGAATGTTGACGGCAGGGATGCCCAGAAAGAAAGAAAGAAACCAGAACCGCCAGAAAGAAAGAAAACAGAGAACCCAGTGCAGGCGCTCCTTATTTTTTTTTTTGAGCTTAGCCTTCGATGTTATGAAAACAAACGCAAGGCGGACATGGCATATCGCTCTCGGGCTCAGGGACATCCCTCACACCCGCCGCACACCCGCCGCCCCCGGGGGGGCCCCACCCCGGCCGGGAGAAAGGGGAGTGACAGTTTGGGATTGCAAGCCCGAGTATGTTGAGTCCTGGCTCAACAACGCAGATAACAAGAGGGGGTGGTCCGGCTCACAGGTCCGGCTCACGCGCCTCGAGCTCGCCAATTTACCGCACTGAACACTTCCGCCCCCTGGCTCCCAACCCACCCACCTCGCCGACCGCAGAACCGCGCGATCTCGGGCGATCTCGGGCCGCCCCGCGCGATCTCGGGCGATCTCGCGCTATGTGGGAGCTCCACGCCAGGCCGCCCCCCCCCCCCCCCCACCTCACCCACCGCCGCGCCGCGCCATCTCGGGCGATCTCGGAGCGTCGCTCGCGCGGCGTCACACCTGCTCAAAAAAAAGGAAGGGCCTGGTTGGAGCCACGGGGCTCACGAGGACGTGCTCGCTCGGTTCTCGCCGCCTCGCCCTGCGCCACTTGGGCCGGTGAGGCGGCGCCCCGCGCGGCGCGTCCCTCGCCCCGTCACGCCGACCCCTGCGCGCACCGCTCATCTTCAGCCCTCTCGGGGTTACTCTTGCGCTCACGCAGGGGAACCCGGCGGTACTCCCTTCCCCCCACCTCCGACGGGTTAGGTCGGTTCTGCGCCCCTTGGCGCCTGTGCATGTCCCCGTCAGAGTCGGCGCCGCGCAGCTCATCCGGCGAGTCGTCGTCAATCGGGTGGCGGCTCGAGTCGGGCCCGTCGCTGCTGGGCCGCGAGCGCCGCTCGTCGTCGCGCCGCTCGAGCGGCCGCCCGCTGCGGCCACAAGGGTTCGCCTCTCTGGGCGTCGGCCAGCCGCCCCGCTGGCTGAAAGGCGACTCAGGGAAACTAAAAAAGAAATCATGGGAGGGGTGAAGGTGGGGTACTATACCAACTAGAGTGATGGTTGGTGGTACTCTCCTGCAACCACAGTCCTTCTTGTGACATGGCAGGCCACTCTCAAGCCCTACAAGCATCAGATCACCCATTTGGGGAGGGTTGACATCGTGATTTCCGCGGGAAAATTTCTTTTTATGCTGCGAATTCCAGCGTGGAAGAGGGAAAAACCCGACGGGAGGGCCCAGACCCTACCTACCTACCCCGGCATCAGGGCCGCCCAAGCAAAAATAAACGCCACCTGGATCGACAGGAATTTTTCTTCCGTGTAGATCTAAAAAGAAAAACCGCTGCTCGCTCCATCGGTGATCGGCCAGTCCCCTTTTGGTCCTCTCACCCTGACAGCGTAACAATGCTGAGCCTCGCTCTCATCACGGCGCCCGGCCTCGCGCTGGTGGCTCGCGCCCCGGCGCCGGCGCTCTCCGCCGTCCGCGCGCCAAATCTTGCGATGCAGCTGGCCACGCCGCCCGAGGGCTACGACGGTGCCGTCGCGGCGGGGATCAAAAAGGCAAACATGGATGCGGGCAAGATCTTTGGGCTGGGCCTCATGTCGGGCGCGCACATCGGCTTTGGCGCCTTCCTCATGCTCACCGTCGGTGGCCAGTGCCCCGGCCTCGCCGCCACCAACCCCGGCCTGCAGAAGATTGTCGCGGGCGCGTTTGGCCTCCCGTTCGGTCTGATGATGACGCTGGTGACGGGGGCGGAGCTCTTCACGGGCAACACGGCGATGGTGACCACCGCGGTCGCCGAGGGCAAGGCGGACGGCGGCCAGCTCGCAAAGTCGTGGCTCGTCTCGTACGCGGGCAACTTTCTCGGCTCGGTCGGCCTGGCGGCGCTGGTCGCCGCCGGCGGCACTCTCGCAGCGTCGGGGGCGCCGGTGGCGACGGCGGTCGCCAAGACGTCGCTCAGCTTCAAGCAGGCCTTCGTGCGCGGCATCCTCTGCAATTGGCTCGTGTGCA